GAATCCTTTTAGTAGTAATTTTCTCTGAAGAGCCATCAGGTTGTTTTACCATTACCTCATTCGGACCTATGATTGTTCCATGACCTTTAATGGTGTCAACCTATAAATAAAAGGCGAAAAACATTAAAAAACAAATGTGTAACTAAGAAAAATATATATTTCTAATATAAAAATCGTTCCAGCTGCGCAAGGCATCAGAGTGTAATGAATACATATAGATGGGTTTGTAGGCATGATCAACATTAAGTACCTTGTTCTGCTTAAATAAATACGAAATTCCACCGGTCAACGCTGAAACAGCTTTCCTTTTGTTTTCCATCATTTTATTCAAATTTAAGGAAACGGTAGGCACATCAATTCCACGCGTTGCGAAGTCATGTTGAGCCATATGATAATAGTGAGAATTATTCAAAAGGGATTTGCTTGGTATACACCCTACATTCAAACAGGTACCACCGAAAGTATTATCCTTTTCTATGCAAAGGGTCTTGATAAGGAGTAGGCGTTATACTTAGAGTGTACCTTAAGTCCCATTTGGGCAGCTTTTATGGATGCGACATACCCACCAGGCCCACTACCGATAACAACTAGGTCGCGCTCATTTGATGAAGAAAAAAGACGATACCCGTTTTTCAAAAAGCGATAATTTAAAAAGCGCTTTGAAACCTGAAAACATTAAGAAGCAAATCAACTTGCCGGATAAACCATCACAGGTAATAAAATTAGGAAGATGCGCAGGACAAGTGAACGATAAAAACAAAGAATAGTTCTTAAAACAGTTATTCCAGAGTTTAGTTAGTTTAGTCTTTGATATGATATTTTTATTGCATTTATCTTAAATATAACAACAATAACTCTTGCCATATGAGCTTAATTGAGCATAGCTGCGATTGTTCAAGTAAAGGAGGTTTGTGTGTAAAATTTAGTTAAAATTCTAATCAATCAATAAAAAAAAGATATTTAGATTTTAATAATAACTTTTAATTAAATTATTTAAACACGGAAAAGGAAGAAAAGAGGATTAAATAGGAAAACCAAAGTTTCCCTACAAGCAATACATATTTTCAAAATTTTCAGTTTTTTTAAGGTTAACTATTTACGAAAGGTGATAAGGAGATCATATATAGATTAATCTTGTATTTATTTGCATAATTAGGCAGTTAAGAGTTGGGAATAATCGGCCTGATTGTTTTATTAATAAGACTTCTACTAATATCAAATGTGTTAGCGAAAGAGCATAAGTCTAAATTTAACGGTACAGAGATAAGAATATTAAGATGTTGTGGATTCTATTTTGACCGAAGTCTCCTTTTGATGTATAGATGGGGCCGGACCTTGTTTTCACAACTTCGTCGTATTGTCAGAATGGCTTAGTTGGACGCACCTTGTCCGAAGTCCTCAGCTATCATATTGTGACATGACTTTCCATTTAGAAGGGGAAGTTGGTTGGAAGAAGTTCGTGATGTGGTCTCACGGGTAACCGAGGGAGGCTTGCCGCGTAGGAAAGACTATTACATTGTGCGAAGAAATCTTCGGCTCAGCGTTCTGCGATCCGGATGAAACTGCGATAAGCTTTTGTCTGTACTATGATAGGCATCATCAGAGCAAGACTCCATACTTCACGAACTAGAGAAAAAATATAATAAACCAAGAGTAACGGTAGCTGGCTGCAACCAAAGTCTCTTTTATATACACCAAATTTCGCGATGTTACTGAGGGATCCCATGATTTGGTTGGCTGCTTCAAACTTTCTCTACATGCTCGAAAATGAATAAAGTTACTTCCCGAACAGGAAGTGAGTTTAGTGGCACCTGTTTCCTTACACAAATAAACTAGTGTACATTAAATCATGTTTGAGCTTGTGCTATTGCTCCATATGTGTATGTAATGTTCACGTCATAGGAAGTTTGATAGTCCTAACTATACTCGAGACTACTCCATCTCCCTTCACTTGTTCAGTGACCATTCCTGCACTTCCTCTCT